TTTACAGCTCTCTCCATGTATCTCCTCAGGGAGGACAAGGAGAAACTACATAAGACTGTATGCTCGTACAGCTAAGTATAAGAATTCGACTGTACCCTACTTTGCACGCATATTTTGTGAGGAAAAAAAAGGCTAGAACGGAACTCACACGTCAACTTCATGACAGTTAAAAGTCCCTTTTCAATAATTCAACTAACAACGTAAAATTTTCTCGTTTTTAATATTCTTCACATAATTTAAATTTTTATCATAAAATAATTCGAAGTGTTGTAAAGGTGTGTGTATATACTTACATTTCATTGCTGTTACAATATATCACGCTGGGAATTCGAAATTGCATCCCAAATCGTTTGGAATAAGGCGAATTATTGTTAGTATTGTTATTAGTTATCTGTACTTCGTGTAACTGCTGCATCGGATAATGTTTTCGGCTGTTTGGGCACTGAATGGGTGCTTCCGTGAGGGAATGTTGAGCTGCATTAAAAGTCGTGCTCACCATTTCGTCTCTCTTCTGTGCAGATAGCTTTACTATGTCTGGAACTCCGATGGTGTATGTAAGCTAGTAGATTTTCTTTCACCGTGAATCGGAATGGGTTTTTGGGGTTTACCTCAAGCTTCTTGGTAAGGTTGGACCTCTCGTTCCCTTAAGCACACTGATACTGCATCGATTTCGTGGAGCTCAGTGTGCGTCATGATCATCCTCTTCTCTGGGGAGCCTCCATCTGGACCAGACCTTCCTCTTGACTTTCAGGAGGCGCTCACTGACCCATTTTAACCACGAGGTTCGCTTTCTAAGTATTTTTGCCACCAAGGGGATGCTTTCAAAGATTTCCGTCTTAATGATGCTTCTTACTAGCTCTTTTATTTTTTTGCCGTTTCTTTCTGTTTTTGGGGGGACTGAGTGACCATTCAGGAATAGGTTCAGGGTTATTTTTCAGGGGTCCACTCCGGCATAGCTACATACATATATATGTATGCATATCTATATCTAACACAAGGATATATCACTGCGTTGAAATGTTATCGAACAAGATAGTTATATACTTGTATGACAACATGTTCTCTCTCTACCCGCGCGTGTGCCTGAAAAGCTGTAGGAGGATTGAGAGATTTGTCGACTGGTCAAGATTTCGGTCGTCAGCGGTGACTGGGTGGTCACCTTCCTGTTCTTTGTGATGAGCGCTGCCTGTAAAACTCGTCATTGCTACCCGCACTAACACATCCTCTGTGTTATCCTGCTTATAAGGACTAGGTGTCAAGCATCATGCCAGCGCGGGGATGGAGGTTTAGGATTTGTCCTGGTGCGAACTTGACAGACTCAAAGACCAATCAGTAATTATTTGGACTTACGATATACCCACGAATACGAGACCAAGGAAAAACATGATAGCGTAGTCGGATGGGGTAGTATATTTGGCTGGTTGTGCTAAGGTACCGATGCGTTTCAACTAACTGGCTAGAGAGTCGAATACGAGCAGTGCAACGTAACATGACAGCGTACCAAATGGCGACGATGCCTGACCGGGTGCCTTCAGCTTAGAGAGTCCGGTTAAACTATCAAGGTCAGCATCAGTGTTGAAAGTCGTCAAACCCTAGGCTATTGATTTTGGGGGAGTGTGTGACGCAACAGAGGCGTCTCCATGTTTCCCTGGTATTGTTTGAGCTGCTGGTGGGATAAACAGGGGACGGAAGACCAGGGCTTGGCCGTCAGAACGGGATGAAGGTGAATTAGGTGTCTGTTGGATCGCATGCACTTAATGACTGCTCCGGTATCCGGATTGGGCTAAACCCGTGTCCTATTGCAGGTTGTCAAGTCACAGATATTCGGAAGTGATATCATTCGGTGTTGGGTGTTGCTTAAACCGATTTAGGAATGCCGTTCTGACATCTGAGAAACTGGATAACTGAAGGCTGCTTGTGAGCGTCGAAGAATTGAATTTGTCACCAGTGGTGGACTTCACCTTGAATCTTTTGCATCCGCGCCAAACAATACCACCGTTCTCGTTCATGACCAGTCCAAAACAACGATATTTGGTATTAGAGACAGATGAAAAAATCACCGAAGTGTCCTTTTGGGGTCTGTATATGGCACTGAAGTGGCGGTTGCTTGGGTTCTATGGCAGTGTGGTATCACAATACTGCCCCAAATCTTGTGGACCAGGTTTCCGAGAAAGACGAACTCTCCCAATGAAATTCCATGGGACGGGATGCAACCCCATCGACTGAAGGGGCTAAAGTAGTAGGCAAAAGATTCGGTGATTCAGATGCAGGAAGTTTGAAATGAGCTGATGACTCGACAGTTTTCATTTGGTGTTCGAGAAATTTGTCGGGCCTCGAATGGTCCGCTTTTGATCAAATATCTTATGCCACTGTTATGACATAGTGCTTCGACGCGGTACGAGCGAGCGTAGAACGGTGACTTCTCGACGAGATATTCGGCTGAAACGAAAAGGCAGTGGGACTGAGGGCATACCCACTGCAGCCGAAAGGTCCTCATAACTGAAAATTCAATCGTTTATACACTGTTGGATGGCCTTGGCCTGGGAAAAAAGACCACATTAAAAGTTGATAATGAGCTGATCAGCGCCCAGTGTCCCAAACAGCGGACAAGCAGCGCACGAAAGTAAGACTTAAACCTTGCAGTGAGGACCTAAGCATCTCTAACACACATAACCCATGCCTGCTCACTTTTCACGTCACAATAACGTACATTTTTCAGACAATACCGAAAACATGAAAACAGGCCCGTTTACGGGCACGATCCCTTTGGTAGTATAGATCCCATGTCACGATTAGCGGCCCATAGCATATTAGAAACCGTCATTTAAGGCACATAGGTGATGAGTCTAGAGAGAACACGTTGTTGCTTTGCGGAAAACGAAGAATAAAACAGTTAAACACCAACATCTTCATTCAGTAGACTGAAGCAAGTTCGCGTCGACGTCAGAGGTGACCCGGCCATTGTTTTAGCCACCAAATATCTTTGACGGTAAGGCGGTTGGTACAGGCGTGACCTTCAACGTCGTAAGTTCTTGATGAAGTATTGATGGCGTAATATGCACCGATAACCACTATTGCTAGAATCTCACATAATTCAAGAGCCGACCAGTCAGACCTGAAAAATGCATGACAAAAGCGAGCAGCAGGTCAAATTCAAAATAGAAACATGAAAATGCTTTGTGGAAGCGTATCGATCAAAAATATACAGGTCAGTTAACCGTAGTGGCTACCAAAACTCTTGATGCGGGATCCTTAACCAACTTTTACGAAACCGGTTTTTGGGGAGTAAGATGAAATTGCATGTGGAAGTAGTGAAGACGAAGCGGAAGGCGGAGACATTACCATAGAATGAAAAAGGAGAGGGTATGAAATAGGTAGGAATTAAGAGGTAATAATAGGTATGCAGTTATGTGCAGAAGGTGGATGCACGCGAGTAAAGTGGAGTTGTAAGCACCTAAATAAGTTTCACATTTTTCTGCAGTGGTAAATACGCCATATAAAGTCGTGGGCTGGGGAATGATTATCGTGTTGTCCGTTGAATTCTATCATACCAGAGCTATGGAGAAAGAACGGTGGTGCATGTTAAAATGAGGCTGTAGGCAGGGTGGATTTATACCCTCGGTGTACTCCGTTTTTCTCTTTTATTGCTTCAGCACATTCTTCGTTTTGCTTTGCGTTCAAAAACCATCACTGGTACGAAGGCCGTAAGGCAAACAGTGACACTGCCATGCGGGCAAGGGTAGTTCAAGTTTATCTCCCTGCTACCAAGCCTACTGGCCAGTTACTACCCTAATATATATATATATATATATATGTTTCATATACATACGTATGCGCATAAATATTTTCACACTCAATAAAGTTCGCATTTTTAAATATGTTCTTAGTCTACTCCCAGCTCACTTGAACCGTGCCATTACAGGCAGAACTAGAACCATGAATCCAACGTGAGACGAATCGGTTTGCAGTCATCCTTAAATTGATGATGATAGAAAAACCCACAGCATTTGAGCTGTCCTGAGCGGTGCAGGCGGGGGAACATTGATCTTTACCACACTTTAAGTGTCTTCAGGTTGTGAAAAGAAAAAGATGACATCACTTCACAGAAAATACCCACGGTTTTTGAGTTTAGACGATCTCAATTCATCGACCTTTATTGACACCAGGGTGGAAACAAGGTTGTATAACATTCAGTGTTTCCTCTACACGTGACCGACATGTTTCACTCACCTGTATATTTCTATATATCGCCAGAAAAGCCGGGTTTGCTGTCAGTCCACAGGTTTAAAGCCTCTTTGGACAACGAGGACTCAACTCAACGATTTCACGCATCACTAAGCGTCAACGTAATCACGCATTTCACACGAATATCTGAGTTCAAAAATTTCCTACTCGATGCGTTCCAAGCTTAATTTATCCTCCCGCAGAGAAAGGGGGAGACGATGGTCCCGAACTCCAGGTGAGGGCGTATGAAGCTGCTGAAAGTTTGGTGGAAGCATCTGCGATCAAATTATCCGAAAATTCGTCCTGGAGTTACCAACGCCAAGTTTCTACTGAGTGCAGTACTGTCGCAGCTGGCATAGGATTTTAAGTTTTGAGCGAGAAAAACACCCAAATCCTTCACTGTCAGTGAGACTTTGAGATCCATTTCGTCGATGTGGCACACATGAGATGCATCTTGTCTTACGTACATCACCTTGCATTTCCCAGGGATGAATGCTAGCCCATTACTGACTACCCAGTTTTCAAGTTGAGTTGAATCTTCCTGTAAAGAAACAGTGTCTCCCCCACTTTTAATTTTACTCCATTGTTTCGCGTCGTCGGCGAAAAGGAAGATTTCGGAATTACACACTAATTATACACGCCACATTAGAAGCAAGTAAACAAGCACTGACAATGTAACATAAAAAACCGATTACCAAGGATCACAAGTATACAAAAATTGACACCAAACCGGACGGCAAACCAACATGACTAACCCACGTGCGTCAATTGATCTTCTCAAGGTCTCGCACCAAGGTAGGAAGCACTAACTCAAAACTGATCACACACTTAAGTCGTCAGAAGACCTCGAACAGTTCCACACGACCAAGAGGCTAGCGTGAAGTAAACAGTTAATTCAGATTAGCTCATGAACATGTCGAATATTGGACTGAAAAATGTGCGCCACTATAAAACATACGGAACCTCGTGCTTAAGGTACAGTAGTGTATTCCTAACAAATTTTGTCGTCAATGATTGCAAATAATTATATAATAATACAGTAGAGTGTATTCGTTCCCCGAGTGATGGTTGTGGCTTGGTCTTTCCTGTTATATATTTCGTTTCCAAAACAATTGTTACTGACTAATTTGTAATGGCAACACCATTCCTTGTGTTGAACTGAAAACAAACAGGGTATCAGCAGAATATTATGGTAAAATGTATGACTGTATATGCCCACTCTCATGGTGTTTAGTTTGACATCATATCAATGGAAAGTCTATGCACTAGTGTACTAACAGTCAAAATGCTGATATCAGCACTCTGTCAGTGTCATCTACGTACCCCCACCATATTTTACAAGAGACAACGTCCTAGGAGCTGTTTGTTCTTATGTGTCCATCAGTGTGTCTATCAATATCTCAGATCAGATAATATACAAGCTAATATTAGAACCTTTACAGTCTTACCATATAGGGAACGTACCCGAAAAGCATTATTAACACAACCGGAATTAAGGTGGCATTCAGAACTACAACCTCATTAAGACGTAAGCTTTGTGAGCTAAAAGACTGTATGGCATATCGAACAAAATAATCCAGTTTACCGAATTCCATGCAGCGAACTTCAAATCAAAGTTACTCAGCCAAGATCAACTAGGATAACAGAGAAAAAGAATCGGGCCTATTCTAGAGTGGTGAAACTCAGTAGGGTGAGACGTTTCGGGAGAAGCTCGGCTGTTGCGATGCACACGGTCACACAACAAAATGGGACAAAGTGACAGACCTGAAAGCAAACTTGTCAGCGTTTGAAAAAAGGTTGGCAGCTGAAATTTTGTCCACCAAACAAGCACTGAACACGTGAAACACCCACTCGAGAGATGTGAGAAGTCCCACTACCCATATGACAAATGAACAGGAACAGATATAGCCATAAAAGCAGGGATGCAGAAGATATGGAATTGCCTTTCAGAAGAATACGGGAAAGAAACTCTCTGAAACATAAGCCAGTAAACAATACGGTCTCACTATGTGAAATATCCAACACGAGTCAGCATGAAATTATGAACCACTGTGAATTGAATTTTCATTTTGTTATTTTCAAATGTCTTTGTTTGCATCCCTGTCACTCTAAAATTTTGACTTACCTGCACCATATCGAGCCTCCAAACACTTCCTTCTAAAAGACTGTCCATCGATAAGATATTTGACTCCACTGTCTTGAAACCGGATACCATACAAGCTGACTGTCTTCGACGTTCGAACCTTCGTGCAGGTCGGACAACAACTAGGTTTGGTTAGGATTCTGGTAACCCTTACCGTTGACGTATTCTGTACCTCAGGGACTCGCATACGAGTCCTTCAAATACGTTCGCCAACTGTTACCTGAAAGGTATGCTTATCGTGCGCTCATCTACTGTTGATAGCTTAGCTGGTGTCGCAACAAATGGCACAACCGAAGCTGTGCTACTCGACTAAATCCCTATGAACACTATGGTGTAGGACTGAGGTTCGATTAAAGTGAGAAAGTACCTCTTCGTTGTCGCTGTCCACACTCTGACTGACTGTAGAATGGGTGCAGTTGAAGTTGAGTTCTACCACCAATTGAATGATCTCAGTAAACCTCGTGTGGCAGATATCATAGTGCTAGGTAGAGACTTGAATACACAGACCAGGTGTCTTGACTCTGAAAAGTCGTTTGGGTGTCCCATAGAGGTTAGCAAGTTGCAGGTCCGATGATGATGAGAACAATCTATTGAAGCCTTGTGAAACACGAAACTTTCTTCTAGCAAGCACCAACTTATGACGGCTATCACCGCTGTTCTGTCCTACATTTGACTCTCCAGCTTGGTGTGCGCGAATAGTATTGTCCTGCTTGTTGAAGGCCCTGGCAAAACATGTGGTCTTCTGAACGCTTTTAGCATAAATCTGTGTATGTTTGACATGCATTTTGCATCTGTCAAATGTAATATGATGCTTCAGGACTGTTCTGCGACTACTTCCAGTTTGAGGATAGAGAGTGAACTGGCTACATGCGTTGACCACTTCACGTGCTTGGGGAGTTGCACCAGTCCAAATCGGTTGGTTGCTTACAAAATCTCAGCTCGGATACAACATGTCCGTTTTGTACTTGCCGACTTGTGTGTCCTCTAGCACCAATTGACGAGATGTTCGACTACTTATTAAAGAACGAGTCTACTAAATTCCCTTCTATCCTGTTATGCAACAATGAGACGGCCACTGGAAGTAGACGACATGAAGAGATCGAAGTTTCTCGATCATACGTGTCTTCATAGCACTGCTCGCTTATGGTGGAACCACTATGTCAGCAATGTCGAAGTTAGACGAGGGGTATCAGGCAAATCGGTTGGGAACCTTCAGCGACTGAGATGACTTAGACATATGTTGCGCATATTGAGCCACTCCTTACCTCGATCTGCAATGCTAGCAGAATGTACAATAGTTCGGATGAAGAGCCAGAGCATGACTTGGCACCAGTCTTTGGATGTTAGTCTGAGCCATATAGGGAAGCGTGGACTGTCTGTTTGAAGTCCTCGAGAACATAAAGGGCCCAAAATTTCCGGTGGAAGTTGGTCAGAATAACGTAGATATATTCACTTTTCGATACATTCGAAAGTCTGTTTTTCCTCATTTTTAGTCTTTAAAATTCTCTCCCTTCCTGTACATCCTTGCCTAATTTGATATAACTTTCTCGACCTATTTATTCTCTGCATGTTACCGTGAGGTGTGGCAGTTTAAGCCACTGCACTTCTGAGGCCGTCTACGGTGATTTTGTATGGTTTTCTGATATGTATTTTGCAAGTTTCTGTTAGAGTGGTGTATCCGTCAGAAATTTGCTAGCACCATGAAAGCCATCAAGGGAATCACTTCCAGTAGTGAGAGCACAAAGCCAACTCTGGACATCGTCCCAAACCAATCGTGGGGTCAGACATGGCTGCATGATTTCCCCATTCTTCTACAACTTTCTCATGAATGCTATTTCTGGGGGTTCAGCTCTGACAGTGCGTTTAGACCTATTATTAGGTGTGACGTTTTGAGCTCAACATGAGGACGGCGTCGTGTTACTATGTGACAACATAGACTGCTCAATTCGCACCTAATCAGTTAACGACCAGTGAACGTGTACTGTACTTCTAGAGAATCGACAGTAACCTGTACCTACAGTGACCCCAGCTGGCGAACCATTGGTATTTTTTTCAAATGTCAATGTACATGGTTAGTTCTGTGAGTTTCGGTGGAGGTGTGGCTGACGAGATTTACAACCTCGCTATGGATAACACAATGATTCCACCACGGGTGAGCAGTGCTTCGAAAATACCTCTGACCAAAAACATGTGATCTCTTCATATTTTTTTACTGGCCATGTCTTACGGGCGTATTATAATATCAGAGAGCGAACTGCTCCGCAGTGTGCTTGTTTTTCAGTAGGTTGTCACGTATCTTGACGCCACCAGAAGTTGGACGAGTTGGAAAATGCTGAAAGGGCCTTTTGCGTCTGAGATGAAATCCCACCTACAACTAGCCCGATTGGGATAGTGCAACTGCCCGCCCAAGTAAAGTGACCAGTGCATCCTACCGCTCCATTCTATATCCTTGAACTAATAGTTGGTACAGACCAGTCTGAATGCACCGTCCTTCATTTGACAGGTGCAAAACGAATGCTTGGCACACTCAGATTCGTATTCGGAAGTCTGAATTTTGTCAGCGGCGTCGCTGAACAAGACTGTCTTCCCAAACTCCAATCTTACCAGATGGTCCCTTGAAAGTGACCCGACCTTTATGATAAGAAGGTATCAAGTGAACGATCTATTGAAGCCTTGTAAAACACAAAACATTCTAGGAATGAGTAACTTCTGGGACAACCATCGCAGTTGTGCTGCCCAGTTATTTACCTTTGGCTTATAAATATACTACAACAGATCTCATTGTGGCCACCTAGGGGTTGCATGGAACCATTCGGCCCATTGGAAATCATGGAGAATCTATCGGAAATCTTATCACACTATATTATGCTCTGATTTCGTTTTGCGTTTTAGTTGTCGAAGTATTAGGACTACTTATAAAAGTGGGCTTGGTTCCAGACCACCTGGCGGACATTACCAAGGTGGTTCGTAAGGAACTCCATGTCCTCAAGTGCCGCAAGGTACCTGGTTCAAACAAATTACCTCCAGCTCCTTTTAAGGATTCAGGTGAAAGTGAGGTCGGAAAATTGACGATACTTTTTAAAAGGGTACTACGAACTAAGCTTCCCGTCACTCTGGAATGGGATCATCGTTGTGCCCACGTTTTTATGAAGTTTACTTAACCATAACCATTGAGATATCTGCCTGCTAACAGCAGTGCCTAAAACACTGGCTGCCTTCATTCCTAACAGACTGCACTATGTACTAGGAGGGCGTTGAGTTTCGTTTAGATCATCGATGCATGTGTTTGCCAGATGCTCGAACACTGTTACACGCGTTACAGTCCAAAACTCGTATTCCTCTATATTAGCGCTGTCTTGAATTCGAGGTGTGCTCTCCCAACCGATACCTACTACCTTGACGTGGCGGTCGGGCTTGTATATGACAAAGACATGCACTGTCTGGAACGCATGTTCCTTGAGGTTCTACTATGTCGGATAGGTCTTTTGGATAGGGGTAAGAAGAAAAGAAGCTGCCGGTATAGTGTAAATTGCTACGCTCTAGTGGGGGTTCGAGGGCGAAATTGTACTGCTGACTGGACGGGGTGTGACAACTGCAGAGTGTCTATCGTGGTTGACCAACAGAACCTTTCTTGTGCTACCTTCCTTATGCGAGGCAGTTGGCATGGGAAGAGGTTGGTCTCCAAAATAACACATTCACTCCTGCCCTGTGATCTTCCGATGTCGGTGGCATGGATTCTTCATATCGGGCGTTATAACAACCAGATTTCTAGACAACAATCCTCATAAAGTTGTGTGACAATCGCGAAGCAGATATCCTATCAGCTTTGTTGTCACCCGTCTTTTCATTGTTTTCTCACAGGTTCCCTGTAGAAACAGCTCCCACTGTGGAGACAGTTGGGAAGTGTTAACCACCTGCACGCTTTCATTAGTGTACAAAATCCAATAAGACATTACTTACCTTTGTCTTCCCGTTTGCTTTCACCTCTTGATACCAATATTAAGCCTCTGACAGCTTCCTCAATCTCTATCTGAAATCATGTTTAATCATCCAAGCCAGCGAAACACCATTCCTACTCTCGTAAAACCGAACCCTATGCTGATATCTCTCGCCAGATTTCTAGAATCCCAAACCATGCGTGTTTGCTGCGTTTATGAGACACATATATAGGACCCGAGTGTGGTTATTTACCTGGCCATTGTGGTGAATCTTCGAAACTCACTTTTCGCGTATTCGAAAATTCAATAGGTGGTGTAAGCATATCGTTAGATTGTAAAGCAGAATGAGCTGTGGCTTACTGGTTTAGGGAGTTGGATTTCAACCAGTGGGTCACGGGTTCTAGACCCGCTCCATTTACCAAGGTTTGAGAAGCCAGGTAGTATCATTAGTCCTCACAATAAGCGTGGGTTACTGCCTACCGCACGGATTTGCGCAAGGTTACTGAGCGCATTTCTCCTACTTCTCGACTGGATAAAAGTCAGCGACTATCTGTACTTTGTCCGACCGAATCGACCCGTAACAACTAGCAAGGATTGTGGGACTTGCCGGTTCCTGTTCATAATCCCTACCTACGCGTCCATCTACTGTAGTTGAGATAACTCAAAGGATGAGTTCCATAAAAAACTGTCAATTTTGCTACATGGACCAAAACATTCAGATTTAGCCAAGCTAGCAGTTGACTTCAACGCTCAAATAGGAAAGCTGGGTCAATGGGGGGGACATGTGTGGTGTCTACGGGATCCTGTGCCAACAAACCGACAATGATGATCACCCGTCACAACGTTGTTCTGAAGACCATTTGTTTCTGGCCAGCACTAAATTCAAGCATTAGGAGACACTGTCACACATGGCATCCATCCACTTCAAACCAGGAATAGAAGCAGACAGATCATTTTGCCGTAAACTATCGTTGGAGATCACCGCTCTTTCTGGGGCATGTGTATGTTTGTGCCTTACTGCATAAAACAAGAGACAGGGAAGCCTGTGCGTGCTCGATCGGAAGATAAGAACGTTAAATGCAGTGAGAAAATAGCTTGATATTTGTGTGAACATGGCAGCAAATCCTCACTTTGAGGGGACCTGGTGCAATATTATGTCTACTGTGTAGACAGTGGTTGTGATAGCTGGTAACCTACATCCAGAGGTTAGTGAACGTCAGTGGATTTCCGCAACGTCAAAATTTTTGGATTCGACGACCACTTGTCATCCGAGTGATGCTCGTGGACAGCTTCAGACCTGGTCGTTGGTGTATTGACCAAATAATCACTCTTTCAGGTTCTGTAAAACAGGCACACTTACCGACGCCCGACACTAGCTATATTTCTCTATCTGAAAACGGCGTTTGACTCTGTCAATTGGGTGGTCTAATGGTGGTTTCCCACTAGCAGGGTTACTGAGTAAGTATACGACTCTGTTGGAGGTTCTGTACTCGAACACACGCGTGTTAGAGCCTATGATGAGTTATCAAGTAATCTGTGTACATCGAGTGCTGTCCATCAAGAATGCTCACTCTCCATTTCTTCCCACTTTTGTCATAGTCGTACTTATGGAGGTCTCCATGTCGTCATCTGACATCACAAGAATTGATCTAATTGCAGAAAAATTCTCGGTGGAGTTAGAATACGCAGTTGATATAGTCCTATCATGTAAGGAAGCTGACATAAAACAGTCTTCGGAACACGTTGAGTGGCAGCTTGAGAATGCTTGGGATGCGTTTCTGATAACTTCACGTCTCTCGCTGTCACCAACCACGGCTGCTTGCGGTAATCTCAAAGACTCTTAGTCGATTTACGTCTAAGTTGCCTGTGTTCTTCATTTTGATCAGAACCACCAGAAATGAGTTTTCTTGCGTCTATCGGTCCGGATAAGATTGAGGAAACCCACTGGCTTTTGGTAACCTTTGGAAATAAGTTACCTACTGTCTTTACAGCTGTTTCTACAGCAGACTGAATATTACGCCAGACTTCATCATTAAGAAGACTTCTACCATTTTCAGATGAATATAAACCTGTATCCCGCTTCAGTACACTTGATATTTTCTTCCAGTCGGCTACACAAATTCCTAACTGCTGTTTTTTTCTTGCATCCACAAGGATGCAGGGGTACATGTCCCCTTACTAACGTCTGTACAGGTTCTATGAAAGAAGTAGCAACCCCCCAAAGATTCATTTTCGTTCGAAATGAATAGTATGAAGTAAACACACTCAGCTACCTTGTACACATCCATGCAATAGGCAAAGAGCCACACATACTGTGTGAGGGCTAGTCGTACTACCTGGTTGTGCAAACTTCGGTAGTTGTAGCAGGCCTCGAACCTGTGATCCAATGGTTTTTCAGTCATCTCCCTAAACCACTGAGTCACATTTATACGCATGTAAAACGTGGTATCTTCACGAGGAGGATATCTAGTCACCGTTAACTGACAAGAACAGCATGAGACCAGGCATCACTTCAGAGTGGTTTAAGTTGCCACACTTCATATCAGGCCACCAAGTGAGAAAGCAAGGATAAAGGAAAGCGAGCAGTCAAAGTAGTGGAAAGTTGTGATTAGATAACAAGGAGAAATAAGAAGGTACTCAATTCAGTACAACGGCTTAAATAAGAATAATGCGTGACCACATCTGCGCCACCGAGATCGTTTCTAATCCATGTTATCTAAAGTCTTCAACTTTCAGTTTCTGGTGTCATGCAGACCCCGACCAGGATCTATACATTTCCCTGTGTGGTTCAGACCGGCAGTAAGGGATTTCGTACTCTGATGCCTTGTGGAATAACCATGACAGATGATTTTCCATAACGGGTGAGTTTTTTTAAAGTTTTTGTGTTGTATTTCACTCAATGCATTACCTAATTTTGTGTTCACGTGTTTACTTTTGTAGGTGTAATAGACAAATATTAATCCGTCTAGTTCCATATTTACAATTCTAATAGCAGTACGTCTGGCGCCTAAAAATGCTGTACTTGATAGGACTGGGCTTGGGCTCTTTTTCAGACCTGACGATGAAAGGTTTCGATATTCTGAAAAAGTGTGATTTTGTGTATCTTGATAATTATACTTCTATATTTTCTGGAGAAAACGTCGACGAGTTAAATATGACCGGGAAATGCATAATTCCAGCCGATCGAGAGTTTGTGGAGCAAAGTAGTGAAATCTTGGATCGAGCGGAAAAAAATGATGTTGCTTTCCTTGTCATAGGTGATCCTTTGGGAGCAACTACTCACAGTGGTTAGTCGGAAAGAAGTTATTATTGTTCAGATATTATATTACGAGCTGTCGAAAGAAACATACCTTACCGAATTATTCATAATGCCTCGGTTATAACTGCAGTCGGTTGTTGTGGCTTACACCTGTACAATTTTGGTGCCATTGTCTCCATCCCTTTGTGGGATGAATTAGGTCATCCAGAGAGTTTCTACGATAAAATATTGACCAATATAAGAAATGGGTTCCACACTCTCTGTCTGCTGGACATCAAGGTAACGTGATTTGAATTTTCCGTAATAACTTATCAAACTTCACATTCAGTGTTGGAATTTTATCACTTATTCATGAAATTTATTCCTAAGCCTTTGTACCTGAGTTTTCTGAAACGCCGAACATAAAACGCACAAACAGTCTAGCCACTTTTTCGCATAGATTTCGTGAATAAGTTGGAAAAAATAAGATTTTTGTATAATTGATTTCTCCACATTTTCTGTACGTCTGTTGTTACTAATAATAGTGACTTGCCTGGTATATGCGAAGAACTTAGCGCGCTAGATTCAGTTTCTCGACACCAGTATCTCAAAAGATAGTCCCCAACATAATCCGTGCTCACCTCCCAATAAATTCCAGTCATCAACACTTACTGAATTCGTTTGAATACACGTTTCGCTCTCTTCGACTTTATTTTCTCACATTAAATTCGAAACCTCTGCCCCAACTAAGTTTTTAACCAAAATACAATGAAGGCAAAAATTACACCTCCCACTTTAGAGAATCCATCAGACTAAATAAAATTCCAAGTTTTCATCATAATCCATGTATGTAAAATGCATCTTAGGTCAAAATGTATGATACTTACCTACTCCGTGGCTCATCTCTTACAAGACCTAATTCAAATATCTTGTAATATGCTGAATTTAAGTCGAAAAACGATCGAGTAAGTAGTTTGAAATATCAACATTATATTTCTGTTTTTAACTCATGATAACCTTAATTGTGGGAATTTCTAATGAAGCATAATTTTTTGCTTTCGTCGGTAGCCTTGTTTTATCCCATTGTTTTGCCTTCACGATTATCGCAACCTAAATCTTGGCGTTTGGAGCGATGAGGACGACGTTTGAGTCAGTGCGAACAACACTCACTGGGGTGTACGTAAACCCAGGTGACGAATCCCAAACAGGACGAAACGCTAGCCACAACCAAAAAATCAGTATAAACAACCTTTCTTAAACAACTGTTGAAGAATACTTACCTGTTTAAAATGAATATATATATATATATATATATATATATATATATATCAGGCTTTACACACTGTTTCCCGTAAAACAAACAAATGAAGATTTTCTGGATAGTATCGAGATTAAATAAAGTCTACTTTGAATTCAAGTTAAACTGATCGATTCTCGGGTTTATTCTTTAGTCGAATAGTCGTAACAGACCTAGGTTTTGCAGTGTGTTTACGCTTTGCACGAATTTCAGCACTATGTGGCTTACTGCACTTTATACAGCACTGATATCTAAGGAATGCTAGCTTATATCAGTCCCCCAAAAATTTGAAAGAATATCCAACAAGGATTGTGTAAACTTGCTGATGAAAGTAGTGGTTGTTTTGATCTCTTTTGCGATTCCATATGCCTAGTAACTGAACTAGATAAAACCATTTGATGGTAAGTTGCGTAAAACAATTAAGATTATCACTAGCACTAACTTTTTACATTAAGCGTATCCTCAAATCTTAAGAGCCTATTTACCAATATGTTCAGTAACTTTTTTGCCTTTTAGGTAAAGGAGCGGTCTTTGGAGAATATCCTTCGTGATCGAAAGATATATGAACCTCCACGTTTTATGTCTTGCTGTGAGGCTATCAGCCAAGTAGCGGAAATCCTAAAGAAAAATGAAGACCAGCAGAATAACAGAAATATGGGAATAACAACATCTTGCATTGTGATTAGTCTTTCACGTATAGGATCAAATGATGAGAAAATTGTTGTCTCAAGAATAGCCGATATGAATGAAGCCGAAACAGACCCCAAGAAAAGTGAGCAGAACTTCGGAGGTCCTCCACACAGCATAATTATACCTGGAATAATACATCCATTGGAATCAGAGTTCTTGCTAGCACGCTATAGGACTAATGGAGAAAACCAACTCCATTTACCAAGATTATACACCAATGATTCACAAATGTCCGACGATACACTAAACACTTTCCAAAATGTCATAAATGTACATAATCAAGCAGTTCGCTCTATCCAACTTTGTTTAAATTCCTTATGAAATCATGTGTACATTACTATTTCTGTCAATTCTTAAATAACCATTTCTCTCAAATATTGTTCGCTACAGTTTGTACATTGGTTATCCGTTGTTGATAAGCAGGTGTGTGACATTATGATACCACAAAAATATCGAATAAAATCCCTGACCTTTCTTGTTGGTTCGAACGGCAATGCTCTGGCGTTAAATACTTTGGTCTGCTAACGTAACCACAATGAGCGCTAGATCACGCGTTAGTCTAAGGTGTGGAAAACCGATGATGCTACTTTTAAATACCGTTTATAAAATACCTCGAAGAATGTATTCACATATGTGAGCGAGACATGATAATCATGCTAATGAAGTAAATGTAATATAAGACCACTTTCCAAATGGTCGTGCCGCATATTTATTTACCGCTACTGAAGTTATAAATGACAGTCTTTTGAAGAAGCTAAGATTAAATTTGAAACTATATCAACTTGAAACTTCAGAGATCAGGGGATTGTCAGTAAATGCGGTAACAGTCAACAAGTTTTAGAAGAGCGGAATACACCCATTTGATCATAGTAAAAGACAAGACGTGGTTGCAGCGAAGAAACAATTTTCGACGAAGTTATAGAAGGCCAGCTTAGTCAACACTTTGAATGCGGTGTTCAAGTGACGTAGATTAAGTAGTTAGTCAACATCGACATGAACGCTGGCAACACCACATAACCCTCTAAGTCGCCACAACACACCCCAAACGAGGATGGATCCAGATGAGGGTGAAGTAGTAGAGAATCTCGGAAAGATAACAAGGAGTAGTGAGATATAAATAAAAATTGCTGTGACCGTCATAAACAAAGACTTAAGCTGCTGGAAAAATATAAAACCAAGCTAGACTCCATATTACCTGGCGGACATTACCAAGGTGGTTCGTAAGGAACTCCATGTCCTCAAGTGCCGCAAGGTACCTGGTTCAAACAAATTACCTCCAGCTCCTTTTAAGGATTCAGGTGAAAGTGAGGTCGGAAAATTGACGATACTTTTTAAAAGGGTACTACGAACTAAGCTTCCCGTCACTCTGGAATGGGATCATCGTTGTGCCCACGTTTTTATGAAGTTTACTTAACCATAACCATTGAGATATCTGCCTGCTAACAGCAGTGCCTAAAACACTGGCTGCCTTCATTCCTAACAGACTGCACTATGTACTAGGAGGGCGTTGAGTTTCGTTTAGATCATCGATGCATGTGTTTGCCAGATGCTCGAACACTGTTACACGCGTTACAGTCCAAAACTCGTATTCCTCTATATTAGCGCTGTCTTGAATTCGAGGTGTGCTCTCCCAACCGATACCTACTACCTTGACGTGGCGGTCGGGCTTGTATATGACAAAGACATGCACTGTCTGGAACGCATGTTCCTTGAGGTTCTACTATGTCGGATAGGTCTTTTGGATAGGGGTAAGAAGAAAAGAAGCTGCCGGTATAGTGTAAATTGCTACGCTCTAGTGGGGGTTCGAGGGCGAAATTGTACTGCTGACTGGACGGGGTGTGACAACTGCAGAGTGTCTATCGTGGTTGACCAACAGAACCTTTCTTGTGCTACCTTCCTTATGCGAGGCAGTTGGCATGGGAAGAGGTTGGTCTCCAAAATAACACATTCACTCCTGCCCTGTGATCTTCCGATGTCGGTGGCATGGATTCTTCATATAGGGCGTTATAACAACCAGATCTCTAGACAACAATCCTCGAAAAGTTGTGCGTTACTATCTCCTCTTCATCAAACAAGCACTGAACACGTGAAACACCCACTCGAGAGATGTGAGAAGTCCCACTACCCATATGACAAATGAACAGGAACAGATATAGCCATAAAAGCAGGGATGCAGAAGATATGGAATTGCCTTTCAGAAGAATACGGGAAAGAAACTCTCTGAAACATAAGCCAGTAAACAATACGGTCTCACTATGTGAAATATCCAACACGAGTCAGCATGAAATTATGAACCACTGTGAATTGAATTTTCATTTTGTTATTTTCAAATGTCTTTGTTTGCATCCCTGTCACTCTAAAATTTTGACTTACCTGCACCATATCGAGCCTCCAAACACTTCCTTCTAAAAGACTGTCCATCGATAAGATATTTGACTCCACTGTCTTGAAACCGGATACCATACAAGCTGACTGTCTTCGACGTTCGAACCTTCGTGCAGGTCGGACAACAACTAGGTTTGGTTAGGATTCTGGTAACCCTTACCGTTGACGTATTCTGTACCTCAGGGACTCGCATACGAGTCCTTCAAATACGTTCGCCAACTGTTACCTGAAAGGTATGCTTATCGTGCGCTCATCTACTGTTGATAGCTTAGCTGGTGTCGCAACAAATGGCACAACCGAAGCTGTGCTACTCGACTAAATCCCTATGAACACTATGGTGTAGGACTGAGGTTCGATTAAAGTGAGAAAGTACCTCTTCGTTGTCGCTGTCCACACTCTGACTGACTGTAGAATGGGTGCAGTTGAAGTTGAGTTCTACCACCAATTGAATGATCTCAGTAAACCTCGTGTGGCAGATATCATAGTGCTAGGTAGAGACTTGAATACACAGACCAGGTGTCTTGACTCTGAAAAGTCGTTTGGGTGTCCCATAGAGGTTAGCAAGTTGCAGGTCCGATGATGATGAGAACAATCTATTGAAGCCTTGTGAAACACGAAACTTTCTTCTAGCAAGCACCAACTTATGACGGCTATCACCGCTGTTCTGTCCTACATTTGACTCTCCAGCTTGGTGTGCGCGAATAGTATTGTCCTGCTTGTTGAAGGCCCTGGCAAAACATGTGGTCTTCTGAACGCTTTTAGCATAAATCTGTGTATGTTTGACATGCATTTTGCATCTGTCAAATGTAATATGATGCTTCAGGACTGTTCTGCGACTACTTCCAGTTTGAGGATAGAGAGTGAACTGGCTACATGCGTTGACCACTTCACGTGCTTGGGGAGTTGCACCAGTCCAAATCGGTTGGTTGCTTACAAAATCTCAGCTCGGATACAACATGTCCGTTTTGTACTTGCCGACTTGTGTGTCCTCTAGCACCAATTGACGAGATGTTCGACTACTTATTAAAGAACGAGTCTACTAAATTCCCTTCTATCCTGTTATGCAACAATGAGACGGCCACTGGAAGTAGACGACATGAAGAGATCGAAGTTTCTCGATCATACGTGTCTTCATAGCACTGCTCGCTTATGGTGGAACCACTATGTCAGCAATGTCGAAGTTAGACGAGGGGTATCAGGCAAATCGGTTGGGAACCTTCAGCGACTGAGATGACTTAGACATATGTTGCGCATATTGAGCCACTCCTTACCTCGATCTGCAATGCTAGCAGAATGTACAATAGTTCGGATGAAGAGCCAGAGCATGACTTGGCACCAGTCTTTGGATGTTAGTCTGAGCCATATAGGGAAGCGTGGACTGTCTGTTTGAAGTCCTCGAGCACATAAAGGGCCCAAAATTTCCGGTGGAAGTTGGTCAGAATAACGTAGATATATTCACTTTTCGATACATTCGAAAGTCTGTTTTTCCTCATTTTTAGTCTTTAAAATTCTCTCCCTTCCTGTACATCCTTGCCTAATTTGATATAACTTTCTCGACCTATTTATTCTCTGCATGTTACCGTGAGGTGTGGCAGTTTAAGCCACTGCACTTCTGAGGCCGTCTACGGTGATTTTGTATGGTTTTCTGATATGTATTTTGCAAGTTTCTGTTAGAGTGGTGTATCCGTCAGAAATTTGCTAGCACCATGAAAGCCATCAAGGGAATCACTTCCAGTAGTGAGAGCACAAAGCCAACTCTGGACATCGTCCCAAACCAATCGTGGGGTCAGACATGGCTGCATGATTTCCCCATTCTTCTACAACTTTCTCATGAATGCTATTTCTGGGGGTTCAGCTCTGACAGTGCGTTTAGACCTATTATTAGGTGTGACGTTTTGAGCTCAACATGAGGACGGCGTCGTGTTACTATGTGACAACATAGACTGCTCAATTCGCACCTAATCAGTTAACGACCAGTGAACGTGTACTGTACTTCTAGAGAATCGACAGTAACCTGTACCTACAGTGACCCCAGCTGGCGAACCATTGGTATTTTTTTCAAATGTCAATGTACATGGTTAGTTCTGTGAGTTTCGGTGGAGGTGTGGCTGACGAGATTTACAACCTCGCTATGGATAACACAATGATTCCACCACGGGTGAGCAGTGCTTCGAAAATACCTCTGACCAAAAACATGTGATCTCTTCATATTTTTTTACTGGCCATGTCTTACGGGCGTATTATAATATCAGAGAGCGAACTGCTCCGCAGTGTGCTTGTTTTTCAGTAGGTTGTCACGTATCTTGACGCCACCAGAAGTTGGACGAGTTGGAAAATGCTGAAAGGGCCTTTTGCGTCTGAGATGAAATCCCACCTACAACTAGCCCGATTGGGATAGTGCAACTGCCCGCCCAAGTAAAGTGACCAGTGCATCCTACCGCTCCATTCTATATCCTTGAACTAATAGTTGGTACAGACCAGTCTGAATGCACCGTCCTTCATTTGACAGGTGCAAAACGAATGCTTGGCACACTCAGATTCGTATTCGGAAGTCTGAATTTTGTCAGCGGCGTCGCTGAACAAGACTGTCTTCCCAAACTCCAATCTTACCAGATGGTCCCTTGAAAGTGACCCGACCTTTATGATAAGAAGGTATCAAGTGTTATGTCCATTAGCAAGTTTTTAAAAAATTGATTTTTTTTGGAAATACAAATACCAAGATTATGGGCATTTTTTATTTTATGCATAAATTTTTTCAAACAATCAAATCCCAACTTAGTTTGGACATCCGTAAATTCTAACAAATAGGAATAGGAATAGTGAGTATCTTTAGTAGGCACTACAGGTTGTCGTCAGTTCAGCTCGAGTAGGTAACCTTGATGGGTATCAATACTTGTTTAGTATCCCTTTCACAGTCAGACATCGCCACAGCACCATTTTTGGCAGGTTCAAATGTCATCTTCAGGTCAAGAAATGTGCCAGGGATCGGTCGCTGGCAGGCATACTCCTGTTCCGTAATCTGATGAGGGGTAGAAATCTGATCGGTGCACTGTTGTCAAAGTCTGAATCCCGATTGGATTTCTCCACTGAGGAATGGTATC